GGGAAAGGAACGTTTGTTAGCATCTCTTTAGGAGCATCCACAGAAACAATATCCTTTGTTAACACTGTAACTGTTGTAGCCAGCTTCAAACTTGGTGCTTCATAATATACTGTTCGGAGGTAACCAATCAAAACTGTGAAAAACTCGACCATCATAGCTTAATCATCCAAAGTACAGGGCGACAAAAAGCTATACATGAAATTTCTGAAGACCATAAAATCAGCAGAGTGAAAGATATCAAGTTACATTCTACCCATTACCTTGGGTTGTACCGTCCCCAACTGCCTCAGCTATTCCTGACGGTATGTCGACCGATATTACACTTGAATCAGCAGTAACCCAATGACCAGAAACATGATCATTTAGACCTAGTAAATCAAAGTAATCATGTTAGTATTCTTCTTTATCTTTTTTGGGGGAAAAAACTCTGAAGTCCATGCTCAGAAGTAAATAAACGGCAAATTATGAATATCCAATGGTATGCGTGAGCCTTTAAAGATACCTTCAAGTTTCATTTCTGTGGTTCTTTCTGGTAGTTTGTATATCTTTTTCTTTCTTGTGTATTGATTTTTCTCAAGGAGATGTCTCTTTTTCATTGTAATTGATTTTTATCATCAATTAAAGGATGTTTCTAAAATAAATAAATAAGAAAATGTTAACCAAAGTCCACCTTCTATACTGAAGTTGACATGACTTCCTTTGGGAAGAACTGGATTTTGAGGATGTATGTATGCACCAACCGAAATCTGAAGAAATTCACATTATTCAGCATTTGATATAGGTCATACTAATGGAGACGGGCTTGCATCAAATGTAGCAGTTCTTCAGCAACCGAAATCTGAAGAAATAATTCTTATTTTCATTGAAGAGACGGACAAGAAGGAGATGTTTGATTATATTCAGAAAGTGAGTTAAATAACTTGTAAAAATAGCGGCCGTCATGGTTAAGCACACAAAGTCACTTTTCTACAGCTTTTCCTCCCTTGTCACCAGCAAGGGATGGTAACTTAGTAACTAATTGCTCAAATGCACATATTTCAAAGGCTTAAAAAGGGCCAGTAAGGTACCAGCATGTAATCAGATTTCTGCGGAATGCTATCAATTGATACTCGCAAAAGTGCTCTACCATGTCGTATTGCCTACAATCAGATATTAGAAAAACCAGTCATATAACATAAAAGTAAATAAACAATTTTTCTTTTCCCTTTTTTTGTTATAAAAACTGTCCTTTCATTGATGTTAAAAACCACAAAAAGACCTTTACAGTTGTTAATTTAATATTGTCCACTTTCAGAAAGCAACAATAAATCTGCTTCCAAAATGGGCAGCTTGTTTCATTGGATCTTCGCCAATTGAAATTCAGGAGATTAATTAATTTGAATGATCAGCGGACCTTGAGATGGATATTTCCATTGCCATCATGTTTGCTGTTTATGGACACAACATCAGGGTAGTTAACTAAAACGTCAACGGAAACAGCATCATGTGCCTCATAGAAAGGGTTTCCTGGTTAAAATCAAAATCACATTAATAAGAATCTGAAACATATTAGATGCCAGTGGAAGCTGCTATAAACTGAATCATAGATACCTAGAGCGTCCCGGTAGGTAATTGGAAGAAAAAGATCGGCACCAACAGCAAGACTAATTACATGAAAGGGAAGCTCCTCGTTTCTAGTTCTTATTTGAGCCACCTGTTTAGTCATGCATAATTACATGGTGTACTTTACAATTGTAAGCCATTTATCATCCAATGTTCAGTAACTCATGTACAGGCCACAGGACCAAATATTCATACCTCAATAACTTTGATACAGGCAGCAATCTCTGTTCTACCTGTGGTACGATCTTTTCCCTGAATGCAAGCAATACTGTTACTTTCTGTTGTTCTTATTCTATCCCCCTGAACGGAAATAGAATCCTTTTGCACTATCTCGTTCTTTTCATAGCAACTTCTCAACAAAGAATATGTTATAGTTCCTTTTCGACTCTGACCGTCCCATTGGCTATATGATTCTGATGATGAAGGCAAAAGGCTTTTTGTAGTATAATGGGGAGGAAGCACCCATGTTATTGGAACCCCAAGAGCAAGAGGGAGATCAGGCACCACAAATAATGATATTGATGCATTATAGAACTTTGTTTGCTTGGCAAAACCAGATGATTTGAATTCACATGAGAAGGAGATCGTGACTTTTGTCTTCCCTGCAGATCTGGAAGATAGAATGATAATCACAAATGAGAAAAATAAGCTATTTGGTGGCTACAGTTACACAGACACAAACCAAGCCGGCTTGCTGTGATTTCAAATTTTTAATTTTTTTCTAATTTTTTAATATTTTATTATTATTATTATTATTATTATTATGTAGAAAAAGAAACATGCAAACACAGATACATTTCACAAACCATAAAATCTTATAATTGCAGTGTTTTTGTTGAGCCCTGTAACTTTTTGTGTTAAACATTGATAAAGTATAAACATATTGCAAAAACATATTGCAAAATAAAACTTGGTGTTAACATGGTGATCAGATGTCTCATGCTTAAAGTTCTATTTCTAGCCACTTGTATTGAACCACTTTTTTACGTATTGATTTAAATATTCTTTCATTGATAACGTACAAATAGAAACAAATCAAGGGAAAACAAGGAGTCATCTGAAAATAAAAATAAGGATTATTCTCACCGGTGCTCCCTGAACTTTGGGATCATTCTCAATTTGACCCCCTAAACTTTAAAAACTCACTTTACCCCTTGAATTTTGAATTGTTCTTACTGAACCCCTATTGATTTCTGTTAAAATCATATGGAAAAAGAGTGGGTTAAGTGTGATCATGTGATTTTTAAAGTTCAGGGGGTAAACTAAGAATGACCCTAAAGTTCAAGGGGCATTAGTGATAATAAAAGACCCCGTTGACTACGTTATTCTCCTCTTTTTTTTTCTATCAATTTTTAATAGAAATTGCAACACAAGGGTTTAAGTGGAAACAATTCAAAGTTCAGGGATCAAAGTGCGAGTTTTTAAAGTTCAGGGGGTAAACTAAGAATGACCCTAAAATTCAAGGGGCATTAGTGATAATAAAAGACACAAAGATGGAAGGCAAAAACAAATTACCCAAGTCAACAAGATAAAGAAAACAGACCACCCTTTCTGCAAAGACCTTTCAGCTTGGACTTTATTACGAAAACTCTAAAAATTCCTTTCGAAATAAATCATGCATAAAATTGTCATAAGAACAAATTTCCATAGCACATTGCCCTTTTTCTTGAACTAAAACGAGCTAAAACATAATTCCAACCAAATAATCAAGATAATGTGAAAATTTAACAAATTCATTCGACCATACAACAGTAATGCTCAATCTGTCATGTTCAATAATTTTCCTAGCTAGACCAGTCCACGTGGTTTCTGGTATAGAACAAGTGCAGACTGAACTGAAGCGAGAGAGAATAAAAACTGTAATTTGCAATCATTTTGTACCTTCCATACAAGATATTGATAAAACCAAGCTCTTTCTCACTCAAATAACCAGTGAATTGAACTTCTTCTGAAGTGGTCAATTGCTTTTCTACATTTAAGCGCCCTGATGGATAGAAACTCAGAACCTGAATAACAAAATAAGAAATATTCTTATTTACTTGGCACAGTATCTTGTTCTGCAAGAGCGAATAAAATATGGGAATATACATTTAAAAAAAAAAAGAAGTAACAAAAAATGAATGCAGTCTGACCTTTTCATCTTCTATAGTCCAGTGGTAATTTGGGCAGAGCTCATAAAAGGAAAACAAATCTCCCTGATTATAGCGGCAAGTATTAGTACTTTGATAATGTAAAGGCAACTGAAATGAGATTTTCATTTTTGTTTGTTGTTGTTACCTCGGGAAACAAAGGATAAATAGGCATCTCACGGCCAACAGCAAGTTGCTCACTTTGTACATTCAACAACAGTGAGGAAGGAACTCCTACTTTGACGCTACCATATGCTTGACAAATGAGAATGTCTCCATTCCCGAATACTGAGGCAAGAATAGTCTGATCATATTACAAGGTGCATATGGTCAGGTAAAATGGGAGTACCAATCGTTAAAGTAACAGAATGAGGACAAAGGATTGGCGTTAAGCAATTGTCTGGGAAGTAACAAAAAATTATCATTTTAGGACGAGATAGCCAACTATTCTTAATTTGTTCTTGACAAGTTTGTGAACGAGTTGATCTAAACACCATTCTCGTAAACACATGAAGGCATGAGTCAGGTAGGCACAGTAAAAATAAAAACAAATAAAATTGTCTAGCCTTAATCCCATCAATTGTACAGCTGAAAGAATTTTTAAGGGAAAAGATCTCAGAAGAACAATCGTCAAGCAACGCATAATGGATGACATGCAAATTTTTCTCAGCCTCATAAAATAATATGCAAAGGGGATGTTTAAACAATGGAGAACCATCACGGTCAGAGTACAGGGCAGATTTCCAATTTTCAAGTTTAAATGTAAATGTACAAAAGCAGAATTCTTAGCACTTTAAAACTCGTGACCATCACTGTTGGCCCAAAAAAAAATAAAAAGAAAAGAGAGACTAACACAAACACACACTCTCTCTCTGCTAAACAAGTAATTCATGTGTCAACTGAACGTTATCTTACTGTGTTCCCATGTGAAATTGCAGAGAGGCGTCCGGAGGATTTGTGAATTGTTGCAATACTGTCGTCCTTACTAGCATACTCAACATATACGCTAATTGTTGGCCCTCCTTCCACAGTAAGCTAAGCATACAAAAATTAATTATAAATGTAGAAACCATTAAAGAGAACAAAATAATCAAACAGGAGGATCCAGAATGAGGGGAGTCTACAAGATTATAAATATCTCATGACTGTTAGAAAGCAAAATGACGACTAAAATCAATTTAATAACTTAATCTCAAGCACAATGTGTTGTGCATAAGCAACTAGTGCATCTGCCAATATGCAGAATATCAACTAAACTTAAAATTTGATGTAACAAGTTAAAAGAAGCAAGCATACCATAAAAGATGCACCTGGCACAAGGAAAATAGCTTGTGGGTGAATTCTAGGTGGCGCATATACTTCAATCTTTATTTGCTCACTTAAGATTTCATGCCCAGATCTCTGTACTGCACTGACCTGATTTCAAGTAGCAAATGCAAATTTGCCTTACTCCAGAAACCCAAGAAGAAAATTGGACCAGAAAAAAGTATAAATAATAACAAGAAACTACAAGGCCAATAATTAACTCACATAAAGAGTAGTGACCCCGAGATGCCTGGCTGTAATCTTAAACTGTGGTGTCTTAACATATCCCCCACCAAGACTTGAGATGTCATCACTATCGACAAATTCAACACTTTGATCCTCGATATGTACTTTAATATTCATGTAGGCAAACTGCATATAAGTTACTAGTGACTTAAGCTCTATCTATGAAATATACAGCGATATATGGAGAGAGGATAACTGATATTAAAGAAGTTTGGCACATCCCAGTGCCCACTAAGCAACTCATCCTTTATCAAACTCCCCCACTTTAATTTATTAATAAAAAGAAGAAGAAGAAGGAAGAGAGAGAGAAAGAGGTGCAACAAAATAAGTGGAAAGAGAGAGAGAGAGAGAGAGAGAGAGAGAGAGAGAGATTCAAGTCAATCGACACCTGGGAAGAATCAAAAGTACTCCCATCATTTATGCCAGCCATTAGATCAATAGTCCGTGAACTTCCTACCTGAAATTAAGACGCAGCATTGCATAAATTTCAGATCATCTTCGCTGAAGATTGGGACAGTGTCAGTTTAGAGATGAATAGAGGAGTGCCCTCCTATAAGGCCATAATTGAGGGGCCTAGATGGAACAACGATAACACTAAAACTAAAAAGAGAGACTGGGAAGCCATACCATAAGGCTTATTTCTTCTGGTGATATAATCTTAATCCAGTCTACATCTACAACTTGTACCTACAAAATATGACCTCCTTGAGAAAGTTTTTAAGATGAAACAATAAGTAAGAAGATTCAAGTCCTGAGGAAAAAACAATAATACAGTGGAGGAACTAGGAAGAATTTTTCTATCCATGTAAATCTTTTGCAGCTACAAACAACCCATTTAGAACAGATACTGTGCATCTGAATTTCCTTCTTTTTTTTCCCCTCATGCAAGAACCTGACAACTTCTCACGAAGGCTGGGAAAGCTTTATCGTGCAACTCCAATTAGTAAGACAAAACTCCTTTAAATAAACTAAATTTTATAGAGAGAAATAATTTCCAGAACTTCCCTCACTACTAGGGACCAACAATTCAAGAGGAAAGTCATTACAATTTAGAGTTACATACATCTTTTAGGTCAGCGTGTTTCTTATGGAACATTCTTTTATAGCCAGAAGCATCATAAACGAAATTGAATAGTTTATACAAGTATAAATGCTTGTAAAAAAAAAAAAAAAAGGAAAAGGAAAACTAAAGAGCAAGGAAACTTCAGAAACACAAAAGATAGCAAAGTGAAATAACAGGTGACGAGCAAGTTAAGATGTCTACCATCAACCAACATCATATGCCAAATGAACAAAATGGAATAAGAATTACCACGGCAGAAGCTTTAAGTGGAGGAGCAAGCCCAATATCATACACTGTCACAGCTGCTGTTCCCAGCCCTTTTGCAGACAGTATCAGTTGTAAACATTGTAAACCTGTTGGCGGTTGAACAACTTCTATTACTTGAGAATCATTCACAAAAGTTTCCAAGAAACAGCTCCCACCAGTAATTGATAAATTAAGCTGCAAGAACAGAGGATTACATAAGCTGGTCCACATATTAAGTAGTACCACTTATATAATTGTGTATTACATAGCACTGCACATATGGAACGATCTATAGGTCTAAAAAAAATTAAAACTCTCCATATCTATGGAAAATAATTACAAATCTGAATTGTTAAATCCTTTTTTGCTCCATCCATCTCGTTTATGGCTTGTACAATTGTGTCATTTCAGAATTTACAGAGTGCATAATTTACACCACCCGAACAAATATCATTACATACATTTGAAGCCTCCATCATCCCCTTTTTCTAAGTGTAAGGAAAAACTATTAAAGAAAATCAAAACAAGAGATGCCACATATGACCTGCTTCAAACAAGACACGATTATTCCAAAAAGGCTGCAAGAAACGAGCTACAAGGTATTCTATCATATGTATGATCAATTAAAATTCAAATGTTAGAGCCTACCTTAGCATTGGGGTTGAAATATAACAAATTGAACTCAGGGCTGATCCTTAGAGTAGAGACAAGCTGCACAATTGGACAAATTAAGCATAAAAAGATACCTTAGGAGATTTAGAGAGAGAGAGAGAGAGAGAGAGAGAGAGCAGAAGCTATTGGTACTACAAATACATATAGACCACCCTTTCTCTTTCTCACTGCCACTGTACTTAAATATGAATGATCTCTCTCTAAGCATCATACCTGTAAGCGTACTGCATCCGTAAGAACATTCTCTACACTCTCGTGCAGTTGAATAGCACTATGGTCACCAAAGCCGATAACAGTAGCACGAACAATACACTGAGAAGCAAGCATTGACATTTCAGCTCAAACGACCCATACAACTTGTATGAATCATAATAAGGAAACTTAGTATTTAAAGATGAAGCAAGTCTGGAACCTAAAACAACACATATTAACCAGGGTTGAAATTTTTACACTTTAGTGTCATATAGCTGTCGTGTGAATGACCAATTGAAATCCAGTGGAAGCATTACTTACCATACAACTGTATAAAACTAACATGCTTTATAATAGTCATAATCAACCCTGTCCCAATATAAAGAAATAAGGAATGGTAATGGAAGAACTAAAGACCGTGAAGATAACCTCGGTATGAAAGCTGCAGTACTTTCTAGCATAGAACAACAGACCAATTCAATCGGATAACTACATAGGTCAGCGGAAATCACTAACCTAATTTGGAAATCAAAAACAATCACAAATAACTCATACAGAGGAAAGGTTTCACAAATCAACCAAGATAAAAAGAGTTTTGACCTTTCACAACACAAGGAATCACATAAAATAGTCAACTCTAAAACCCATCATATCCTTCTTATAACACTGAAGAAGCAATACTAATTGCTAATGGATACTTTAACGAAATATTTAATTTCAACTGGAAACTAAAATTTCAAGCTCTCCTATGAGGCAAGAGACTCAAACTGGTTAAATGAATGCAATTCTTCGGTAAAGGCTTAGAATTAAAAAAGAACACTCTCAATGGCATTACGTAAATGAAAATTATAGTAAAATGTTTTATAGAAACACAGTGCAGATAATAATAAAAAGAAAACATCGAAAGTCTTATTGTACCAGCCCAGATTCATTTTGCAATCTCAAAAATCTCTCCCAACTGTACTTAGCCCCAGTGTCATCCCAATAAGCTAGGCCATCACAACTGCTTAATTCCCAGTTCAAGTAGAGAGAAGATGAGTTTGCAAAAGCTTCCCCAGTGTTGCTAATGCTAACTGCAGCTAATCGAATTGTGCGTCCGTTTGCCACAGTAATTGGGGTGACACGAAGTCTTCCCAAACTCCGATCAGCTTGAATTGCAGTCCGTATTGCTTCAAGTTCATTTACTGAAAAAAGGCACAAATTCAAGGACCACATGGAAAGCTAATCATTAAAATATTTAAGTAAATTGCCACTGCATATAGTCTGAACAAAGGAAATCATTTATACCAGGTTCATCAGCGATTACTGCAATAGAGTCCGGAATGCTACATATAAGCGACATAGAAACTTTTGCTATTACAGGCTGAGGATGGTCATCAGCTACCAAATTACCACGATCAAAAACAACTTTCTGTACCATTCAAAATAGAAATCAACTTATCACAAATATTGAAGTGAGGATAATCATAATAAATTATAAATCAAGCAAGTATATAGGAAAGTATTACAAAGTTTCCTGGACTTTGGCATGAAACTCTGTACACACTCCTATAGCCACCAGATAACTGATGCACATGAACTCCAACTTCTGCTTGAGCATATTTTTCACCAAAAATGTCCACATTTTCAATCAAGTCAACACCTCTATCCCACTGTTCAGGACCGCCAAGAAGCATGAGATAGAGGTATGTTCCAGGGACAAGGTATAACTTGTCCAAATTTTGCACTTTATTGTCAGCTTCTGCTCTATCCAAATCAAACCAATAACCACCGAATTGGTTTCCATCACCTGCCTGACGAATAACAAGTGGTGGATAAGCTGCAATACGCGAAGATGCTTTTAAAACAATGGGTCCATGAAAAGAGCTATCAAGGTGGTCATATTCTTTAGAGAAAGTGGCATGCAGCATATCGCGAGCAGCATGAGATGCATATACACTAGTCCATGAACATGGAGGACCATGAGGGCCTGTCAACAGTTCAGCATTGCTCAACACATCTACAACAGGTGTCTCTTTTGTTGTGTTGACAACGGCAAAAGCATCACTTCCCGCTTTCCATTTTATGAAAGAATGAAATGCATCACATCTATAAAATAAGGCTCCTGCAAATAACAATTCCAGTTATACAAAATTTTTCAACACTTAGAAAGGCACATTCCAAGATATTCTTTTAAAATCATTACCATTTCGTCCTTTCATTGTCACAGCAGCTTTGAGATAAGACCCTACAACAGTCTCAACAGGGAAGTTGCGAAGCATGACCATGGATGATGGGATAGAAACTTCGATAACCACCTATTATAAATAAATTAAAACTGTGAAACCAGTCCATATGGAGATAAAACTCATATATGCCTACGCATATAGGTTTCGACAAGTTTCCTTAGCAACTCTATAGTTGAAGCAAATATTCACTGGAGCTTCAAGGAACCAAAAATAATAAATAAATTAATAAATAAGCATGCTATTTAATTTTCACTGCAAAATTAGCGTATTGTACAATTGAGGGACAAAATATAAAGTGAAAAAGACATAAAGAAGTCATTTTTATTATCTCAATCATTCCATGTATTAGGAAACAAAAATGCCACAAAAGAAAGTACATACTCCCAGAAATATTACCTCATCGTAATTGAATGAATCAAAAACAGACAGCACTCTAATAGTAGCTTTGCCAGGCTTCTTAGCCTGAACAACTCCAGAAGCAGATACAGATATGATACTCATGTCTGATGAAAACCATTTGTAATCATTTGATGCTTTAGCACAACCTACATGATATAATAGTGTAGCCCATTAACATATCAGAAGTTAAGGATTGAAAAGACTGAGCAGCGGGAAAGCTACAAACCTCCTGAAGCACTTAGCTCCACCTCCTGATAAACACCAGGGGCCCAGGGAAGGAGAAGGCTTTGAGGTGCGCCACTTCTTTTGTTCAAATCAAACTTCACTTGATCACAGACCATGACTTCTTGCACCACCTTGAGAACCTAAAAGACAATACAAGCAGGAGGAAAAAAAGATAAACTGAGACAATTTCAAAAGGGGATTAAGTACCATCCCCCTAAAGAAAGAAAAATCAAATATAGAATAGAAGACATCAATATGATGAAAGTGGAGACAAATTAGAGGCTGAAAACAAAATAAAGTTAATGTAAGGCCCTACCTCTTTCATTTTATTATGCTGACTAAAGTATCTCAAAGTTGCTGTCAATTTTCCAAGTCCTTGTGAAGTTGCCTTCAAGACTCTGGAGTTCCGCCAGCCATCTCTGATTGCAATATCATCTGATACTGGAAAAAGTTTCCAATTGTCTGCTTGATCATCATACAACTTGATATCATCGCTCTGCATTTCACAAAAGGGGATACTGAGTAATATGCAACTAAGAAACAAGAAACCATAAAAGAAATGCTGGACTAAGTGAGGGCAAGAGCCAGTCTTTTTTGCCAGTCAGCAGCATGATTCAATACACCAAAGCAACACATAAATCAAAATCTACTTTATTTTTGGGAGCCCTTACCTCAACGTTTAATTTCTAAAATATAGATTTTGAAGCAAATAAAGGATAGCACAAAACTTTGAACACATTCTTTCGACATCAAAAGATGAATGGCATTCCTAAACAACAGAGTAAACTATGTGGAATTGTGGGTACCTCATTAGCATCACGTTCAATGACATGAAAAAGGTTTCAAAGGTTAATCAAAATGCACAATGCAAAAAGCGCATCTTACAGGCTATATGTGCAAACAAATTAAATCCACTACAATTTTTTATGTGATACTAGAAGAAAAGTAAATTACCTCTGTTATATAAATTTCTTGTGCATCCAGTCCTTGTGAGAAAACCTTTATTTGAATGAGATATTGGCGCCCAGAAACAACATACCACCTTGGCATCGATGGAATTCCTTCAATCCCTTCCTCCAGATGGCCAGAAATAGATAAAGGTGCTACGTATAAAGATAAAAGATCCGGTAAGACCACTTTAAGTGATGACACTTGTGTATGGCCAGCAACCCTTGTATCTTCAACAATGACATTGGTTACCCCTAAGCGTAGTGCATTTGTTATACCCATCATAGAGTCCACCTTTGCTACAGAAGAGTTTGAAACTGACCAGCGATGATGAGGAGATGGTAAAGTTACCACTGCAAAGGCCCAGTAAGAAAAGGCAGTAAGCATACTGACACTCTACCGATTATGCATCTTAACAAGAGCAACGAATGGTGTATGAGCCAAACTAAAGAATAGCTTCAAAAAGTTGGACTCAGCTAATCCCAGCTTTAGCACAATTAAAGACTGATTTAATTGCTAAAAAATTAGCCATCGTACTGAAGCAAGTACAAGAAAATTGATGCTTAAATTAATGCAACTAAATGTCAAGCACACAGGTACTGACTAGTGACTCCAAAATAAAGAAATTTAACTGTAGTTACTACAAAATATTTAGTTGCGCTATTTCACATGAGAACCTTGAGGATTATTTCCGCGGATAACTTTTAGACTATAGCGAACAACAGCACCGATTAGGACAAGAACAGGTGAGGGAGGTTCAATTGACATGGCTTCTGCCACGGTTAAAACAATCTTGTCTGCCATGGGCTCAAATCCTGGCTCAAACAAATTAACAGAAACAATTTCACGCCCGATTTCAATTCCTTTTACAACATATAAATCTGAAAATCTTCCCTGCATCAGAATAAATAAAATATTTAGACAAAATTAAGGGCAGGAAAAAAAAGAGTAGCTGATTATATTGCTTATTCTTGTCTAATATCACAAATCATACACTATCTTCAAGTTTTATTTGAATATCAAGGTCTCCGCAAAAACCGCTGCAGTCACTTAGAGGGGAATCCTTCAAAGGAACATGAACTAGGTGATGGGGAAATTCGTTGTTTTGAGGCGACCGATGCCACATGAACTGTAAGCCCACTAGTGATGAAAAAACATTATCTGCACAACCCATATCGAAAAGTCAATGGGAAACATTTCACATGTATTATCAAAATGCCACACTTTCCTGGGCAAGGACATGAACATTTTATGATGAAAGCACAGAAATTCAACAACGAAAACGAGAACTCATCTCAAGAAAAACCCCACTCCATCAATTAACATTCTGGAAATACCTTCACTGTCGAAAGCTCGGACGCGAAGAGTGGCAAGCCCATCTAGATCAAGTTTAATGGAGTTATGAAAAATCTGAATTCTGGAAAACTTATCAATGAAAACTTTGCAGCGTATAACAGTCCCAGTCCGTAAATCAGCTGCATAAACTGCAGTCTCCTTTCGACCACTATAAGGAGCAATTGATCTCAACCTCGCACTCGTCGAACAGTGACTGGTCGTATTATATTCCGGTATTACAGACAGCACATCATGATGATCCCACGACCTTTAAAAAAAAAAGAAAGAAAGGTGAACAACATAAGCAATCAATTAGAACAAAATTTCATTCCATTTGTTTTGTTCTTCGACTAATAAACATATCAATTACTTAAGTAATCAAAGATTCATTCCATTTAATTTGTTTTTCCGACTAACAAAATTTCTTCCGGGTGCGTTTATAAAAAAATTCATAGGTCAGAGAGAGAGGAGAAAATTAAAATAAAAAATGAAACACTACTAATTCATTTCTCTCCCATTTTATACTAAATCAAAAAATCATTTTTATTTATTACGTGAAACACGCCGTTTTTAAATAGTTTTTATTTTCTTTTTCGAAAAACATGAAAAATAAAAACAATAACAATTCTAAACACGGCATTCATTTCAAATCAAAAAATCATTTTTATTTATTACGTGAAACACGCCGTTTTTAAATCGTTTTTATTTTCTTTTTCGAAAAACATGAAAAATAAAAACAATAACAATTCTAAACACGGCATTCATTTAGTTGCATTTTCTTGCTAGAAATCGGAGCTTCAAGGTTTATTATCAATTTGATCAGAGTTTAATAATCAAGGTAAAGAGTTCGAGAGAATGAGTGAGAGCGTGTGAAGTACACGCGCGTACCATTTGAAGCAACCGTCACTTCCAAGAAGCCTATACTCCACAGGATGAGTCATCCTGGGAGGCAACAGAATGTTCACATCAGCAATGTGCGGACCAGAGCCCAAATGCGACGCCGTTTCGCTCACCAGCTGAAGGAGAAGAAGAAGAAGAAGAACACCGAGGAATATAACGAAGTTCGACATGTTTTCACCGCAAAGATTCTGTCAGAAACCATGAAACTGCAGAGAGCTTGGCATGGCGATTGGCTATCAGACTATGGCCATGGAATTTCTCGGGAATCTGAGCTGAGAGAGAGAGAGAGAGAGGGGAGGGAGGAGGGTTTAGGGTTTTAGGGCAATTTTTCCATTTTCAAGTAAGTAACTTCCGGACAAGTGGTGGGCACGTGGCGCGTTTTATTGGACTGGGAACAGTAAACTGTCAGGACAGTCCTGGAACCGACACGTGGCAGAGGTCGATAGTACTCATTGCTCCGCAACAATGGGCCCGATTAAAGGCTATTTGGGAAAGTGCCTTTAAAAGCGCCGCACTTGTAACAGCGTCTTTCTTTAAATAAATAATAAATAAAATATAAAATAAAATAAATAAAATAAAAACGTTGGAGATCGCGCCTTTTGGACGCTTTATGTACCACCCGCACCGCCTAAAGGAAATGGCGCTAAGATGAATATTACATATTTTTTAAGTTTAGTTAACGAATTTAGAATTATTTTTAATTTATATATATTTTTTATAAAAAAAAATTATTATAACGAATCACACCCCGCTTAATAAAAACGTTGGAGATCGCGCCTTTTGGACGCTTTATGTACCACCCGCACCGCCTAAAGGAAATGGCGCTAAGATGAATATTACATTTAGTTAATGAATTTAGAATTATTTTTAATTTATATATATTTTTTATAAAAAAAAATTATTATAACGAATCACAAATTATAATATGAATTTTACAACTAAATCATTCATAAAAATTTTTAAAAAAATAAAAACAAAAATAAAATTTGGGAAGGAAAAGAATAAATAAATATAAAATGTCGTATTTGGCTTAGAACACGCAATGGATCGCTTAGAAAGGAGAACAAATTGATCACATGTCCCCTGAATTTTACAACTAAACGATTCATAAAAATTTTTAAAAAAATAAAATTTGGGAAGGAAAAGAATAAATAAATATAAAATGTCGTATTTGGCTTGAGGGTAAACGACATAAAATAGCATGACCTTCTGTCGTTTCAATAAAACGATATGCCTGTGGACTTTAAAAAAACATGTATCCTTGATTAGAACATGACATGTTGCATTTAAGTGTAGAGTAGTGCATAGCTTCTATCACATAAAAGGAAAACATACTATCTTGTCCTTTTCTCAAAATGACACGTTACTTGTCATTTGTCAAATGAAACGACAAACATGATGTGTTAAGAGACGTTTGGTTTATAAATTAGAATCATAAGCTTATAATTATTTTTTATTTACGTATATTTTTTGTTAGAGAAAACATTATAGCAAACTATGAACCATGATTCGAATCAGGGTACGAATTTTCTAACTAAACAACCCATTATTGTCCCACCCCCGAAAATAAGTAAATGAATAAATAAATAAGGAAAAAAAACGCTTCTGCTGATTTAAAATGACAATTTCATTATCCAAGGTTAAAAAATTGGACATGTTTTAGAGCCTTTTTAGTTCATGCATTTAAATTAAATATTCTTAATTTTAGTATTTAAAATTTAAATATTTTATAAAAAAAATTCTGTAACAAAATTAAATTTATAGATTTAAACACATAAAACAAACGAAACAAACAAACGAGCTCTGACACGACATAACTATAATTCGTATAAAACTTAAAACGTAAAACCCTTTTTCTAAATTACGAATTATTAATATAAATGTTCCTTCGGTCAGAAAAAATACTACGTAATTTAAAAATATTTTAATAATTCTACATGTTCTTAAAAAATACTGTAAATAAAAATTAAAACTTTATAAGTAATTTTCTTTTAATTAATTAATTGAGTAAAATTAAATATTTTATTTTATTTATTATCGTATTAAATTGAAATCAAAATTTATTAACATACTATCTAACAATAATCAATATTTATGTGACATGTAGCGATTTAGTCAGAAACACTAATAAAAGGGATATTTTTATTAACAATTTACAATTCGGAGGAATGTGTGTTACGTTTTGAAACTCAAACAGTAAAGTGTTATAAAGGTCATAGTTCGATAGGAAAAATTTTATAATTAATTCTTAAATTAAATAATTTAAAAGAGTGCAGCGTCAGCATCCCATAAACACGTGGCTCCCAAAAATAGTTTCAAATATTAGGGGTGTAAATCGTTTATTTTAGATGAAATGCAAAACAAACCAAATTACAAATTGGAACCAATTAAGGGATCTAATCCAATCCAAACTAAATCAATTCTAATTGATTTGGTTTGGTTTTTCTAATTGGTTTGAACTAATATTTTACAACCTATTCTCAAGTCTCAACCATATAACTGGTACTAATATTTTGTGTGCTCTTGTCTCTTTCTCTCTTTCTTCTAAAGACAAAATAAAGTCAAAACAATTAAATTATAGACATTCATATAATATTAGTTGTGACTCATGATTAAATATGATATTCGACTTTTTTAAATATATATATATATATATATATCAAAGAAAATGAATATAGACAAATTAGAGACACTTATTATTGAAGAGACCATATTCACGTTAACAAAAAAGCTAGGTTTGGTTTGAACTAATATTTTACAACCTATTCTCAAGTCTCAACCATATAACTGGTACTAATATTTTGTGTGCTCTTGTCTCTTTCTCTCTTTCTTCTAAAGACAAAATAAAGTCAAAACAATTAAATTATAGACATTCATATAATATTAGTTGTAACTCATGATTAAATATGATATTCGACTTTTTTAAATATATATATATATATCAAAGAAAATGAATATAGACAAATTAGAGACACTTATTATTGAAAAGACCATATTCACGTTAACAAAGAAGCTAGGTTTTAGAGATAATCACGCTCAAAACTCACAGGAGTAGAGAATGGGAGGAGAGGAAAAGAGAGGAAAGAGCTTAAGAGTAAACCGCATAGACAGTTAGTTCCGTATATATAGGTTATTATAAAAACTTCTAGGGTTAAGATCATTTAGTTTTGAAATAAAAGAGTTTTTTAAATATATATAAGTTATAAATAGATGAAATATATACAATTTTAAGAAAATTATATAAATAAAAATTAGTTTAGTTTGATTTGGTTTTTTTAAAAGGTAAAGTCACAAATTAAACTAATTTAATTGATTTTTAAAAAAAATTTAAACCAAGCTAAACTAATTATTAATTGATTTAGTTTGATTTTTTTTGTTTAGTTTAGTTTGGTTGATTTGTTACACCCTTAACAGACATCGCACGTGTTAACTTTTTTGCAAATGTTTTCTTTTAACCATAAACACGTGGCTCCCAATAATATTTGCAGACATCCCACGTTTCATCCCTTTTGCAAAAAAATTTGAGTGAAATTCAGTGGTACCCTTTATTCACCGACAAAGTAAAGGGAAAATAAAGGCACACCAAAAAGGCAAAAACATTACCAAGTTTTGGTGGAATAATCCATGGATGCCAAGGATAAGAAGTTGCAGTCCTCAGAGAACCAGACGGCCAAGGAAGTTAAAGGCGTAATTGAGGATTCCCCAAATACCAACAACACGAGCCAAAGGGAGAGTATGGAGGGAAAAAACGACAATAAGACGGTGAAAGGAAAACAACAAGAACCAAAAGGTCTTCCTCACCAACAAGTTGCACAGCCGGGAGATTTCTCCAGTGAGGCCCTTGAGCACATCTGATATTATCTAACAATACAAGGCAATACCTTTCCTTTCTTAATTTTGTGTCACCTTTTTTTTAGGCTATATAACCTATAGAATTGTGGTTTTAGTTCTTCATCCCAAGACTTCTTTGTGACGCAGCATTTCTTAAGCTAGCACTTTTGCCTACCATTCATCTAGACACAAATATACCAAACTTAATTAACCAAAATATTTTCCAATTTCTCAAACAGTCAGAAGTCAAAGTTCCTACCGTTGTAACCACTAAGCATAGCCACGCCTATAGCCGTATCTGCAACCTAAACTACATGTGTGTGTACAGAAAAGCAAGCGCATAAACTAGTTAGTACCTAATAGAGCAGGATAAAAATGCAGCCAAAATAAGCTAGTTCTGAATCAAGCCAAGCCATCTGTCTGGGTTCTAATCAACTTTGCGTATAACCCATCATTGAGAATAAGCTCTGTGTGATTTCCCACCTGCACACACACACCAATCGCGCTTCGATAAGCATATACATGTTTTCATGACGAATTACTGTGTGTGGTACATTCTTAAAAAGATAGACGACGTAAGTAAAAGGATATTCAAGGCAATACCAGAAACAACAATCGAATGTAGAGTAAAGAGGATAACATAAAGTGCAGGAGTCCGAATAAAAGAATCAATTAGAACAATACTTGTCTAACCAAACGAAAAGAAGGAAAAAATAAACACTTAGAATTAATTAAAATAATATTTGTCTAAAAAACGAAAAGAGGAAAAAATAAACAATTTTATTTCTAAAAAAAAAAGTCATTAAATAAAATGAACTTCTTATTAGTATAAAACATTTTAACACGTTTTTTAAAAATGACCCCAATCGAGCTATGGAACCGTCAAGATGAACAATTTTTGGATGTCTTGAGGATTTCGTGATCAAAAGGGTGCTGATTTGGAGTAGAGACAACAGAGTGAGTGATGACCAGATTCAAAGTAGAGACAACAGAGTGAGCAATAATCAGTACTGAGATTACACGATTTTTTAAATTTTAGTATAAGTTTTGTCATTTATTAATTTCCTTCCGAGCTTGTTGTATGTGTACTTCAGAGTCGGCTACGTTAGATCTCAGAGTGGCGATTTTACTTTCCACATAATCTTGCATGTCAAAAATGTGATCAAATGCTAAATTGGCTTGGGATTCCAGTCCTTGGATCTTTAGAGAACAACTAGTTTTCTAACATGCTCCGCATGTATTTTCGTGCTATAAACACCTGAAAAGTTTATTGTTTGCTGAATAATGAGAAATTCATTTATACAACCATTTAAGGACTTTTGAATTAATTTTAAAAAGGAATGCGTGTTAAAATCAATTGACAAAAAATTAAGTAGGGATACATTTCAAGAAAATTATTTTACTAATTAGAAATAAAATAGGAACACATGCAGAAAAATTACTTTTATAAGAGTAAAGTGAGGAACAATATATCTTTAAAAGATACACAAAAATTAAAATGTAAAAAGAATTTCAAAAAAAAAAATAAAGATTAAATGTAAAAAATGAAGGAGGTAAGTGGAGGGGTTACCACGTGACAGTCTCATAAAAAAGAATTTTGACTCTTTTATATATTGTTAGATTAAAAGATAAAAAGAATAGACATAAAAAAAAGGTAAAGAAAAGGAAAAAAAAAAGGAATAGGAGAGGCTGCCACGTGTCAGCTCTAGGGAAGAATTTTTTTGACTCTTTTATGTATTGTTAGATAAGCCAACTCTTTTGTCAAGATTTTCATGTCCTGCAAATGAGAGTTCAATATACTGACGAGCTCCTTAATGCCACAAATAGTATCTTCGAGAAGATGAGGAAAGAAGAGGTATTATATTATTTCTAGCCTCAACGACGGAAGTACTTGAAGGTAACAGTCCATCATTTTTAGAATTAAAGGATATTCCATGTTCGTCATACATGTTAAAGATAGGATACCAATATTAATAATCTGCAATTTTAAAGAAAAACATATTGCGTACTCAAATCTCATCTAATGAGTTATTTATATGAACTATGATGAAATATCAGAGCTTAGAGGGTTAATATTCATGGGTGTGATTATGTGTCCTTAGCATGTCTGATGAACACAGAGTATTCTTCAATTCTGTAAATGATGGGTTGTTACCTTCCAGTACTTTCATTGATGCTGTAAATAATATAAGACCTCTTCCTTCCTCATCTTCTACTATTCGTGGCCTTGAGGAGTGTGTTGGTATATTGAACTCTCAGTTGTAGGACATAGAAATTAAGAGCCAACGGCTGGAATCACAGGTCAATACGGCAATCAAACATTTCTGCCATGCAAGATTATGTAAAAAGTAAAATTGCCATCCAACATAGCTGACTCTGAAGTATACGTGCAACAAGCTCTGGAGGAAATTAATAGGTGACAGAGCTTATCTGAGATTTAAGAAATCGTGTAATTTCAATACCGGGCATTGCTCTCTCTGTTGTCTCTACTCGTAATCCGTAACCCTTTGATCACCGATTCACCAAGTTTCCAGGACATTCAAGAACCACTCATCGCAACGGTTCCATGGCTCGGGAGGGATCATTTCTAAAAAATGTTTTGTACTAATAACAAGTTTATTTTATGTAATAAGGGATTCCTTTTAAAAAAAATAAAAAGTATGTCTTTTTCCTCTTTTCGTTTTTTTTTAACAAACATAACTCTCAACATTTATTGATTCTTCTATTCTGTTATTACTGCACTTCATATCATCCTCTTTATTTTATCATCTATTGTTGTTTCTCTTTGCAAGACATTGTCGGTGCTCAAGTGGTTGGATGTGTGAATGTATGTGTCTATCAAGTTTGAATTGGTGGTTTCATTTCCTATGAGTAAAATGGGTGTCATAGGCTCTACATCGTATCAAGTACAGTTGATTGAACTGATGTGTGAAAAGTTTCCATCATCAGACTGTAATGGTTCTTTCCTTTTGAATGGAAAAGGTGATGATTCTTTAACACAAAACGGAAATAGCTAACCTCAATGACTCGGCCACTATCCATAACAACGATTCTGTCAGCAACTTTTATAGTAGAAAACCTGCAAAAAAATTAAAGATTAACCACTATAATGCCAATGGCATAAAAGACGGAAAAGCACAGAAAATGAAGTGAGAAATTCACCTATGTGCTATAACAATGACAGTTCTTTTTGCATTTCTGTCATTCCTGAATGCGTGGATAACCCCCTAAAGAATGGAGAATATCATCAAATGAGAGTGAGTTGTTAAAACTCAGCCATTTCTCCTTTCTCCTATGCACATTATAAAATAATTTACTTGCTAAATGTTCAAACAACTTGCCTTGACATAATGTTCACTTTCGGAATCCAGAGCACTAGTGGCTTCATCAAGGATCAAAATAGAAGGGTCTCTGAGAATGGCCCTAGCAATTGCTATTCGCTGCTTTTGTCCTCCGCTGAGTAGCTTGTCATCAACAAGGGTTTCATAGCCGTCAGGGAGAGATGAGATGAAATCATGAGCGTGGGCTTGCCTTGCAGCCCATTCTATGTCCTCCTGTTTAACGCCTCTAGAGCAGCCATATTTGATATTTGACTTGATGTCCATATGAAACAGATGGGGTTCCTGTCCAACATGAGAATTCTGATTGCAATTTCTATATGCAACTCAAATAAGTTATCTGTTTATGCATTCTAACCTGTTCAACAACTCCAATTTTTTCTCTCAGCCACCTAATATCCAGCCCTCTAAGAGGGAAACCGTCGAGGTAAATCTGCAATTTAATTCCACTTTTTGTATAAGATCCAATACCACGAGCCTATAAAAAAACACACTACCACAGGCCTAATGTACACTGATGAAACAATTATAGCATACCTGACCACTAATGGGCACATAAAGACCAAGCAAAAGATTGATCAAAGTGCTCTTTCCGCTACCACTTGGACCAACCTTGGCAAATTTAGATGCACAGTCAATCAGAATGCTTTAGCGCCAGTATCATGCGGAAAACAACAATGAAAAGCAAAGATATGCCATACAATTGCGAGGACTTCATTTGCTTTTACCGAAATGTTTACGCTATCTAGAACTGGAACCTGGTAGCAGAAGATATATAAAGCTTAAGAAGTTGTTCATTAACATGAAAAGGAGTTTTTAACACAGCGATATAACTTTCTAAGGAACTAATTAGCATTATAGAAAAGAAAGGAGGAGGAAATCTGTAACACAAAATAACTTACTTTTGGCCTCGAAGGATAGTGAAAAGAAACATTCACAAACTGGATATGTCCCATTATTCTCTGCAATTTCTGTCCTGTAGACAGTGGAATGCTTCATTAACATAATAATAATAATCGAGAAGTTTGGAGACTTCTGATAGCTGTGAAACCAAATGACAATCTTTTGATTGGAACTTGGACCTATATATAACATCTTAGATTAATTTAAAAATACATACGTATGGGCATTGAGTTTCGTGGGTTTTCCCTACATGGAAAAGAAACCAAAGGCTTGAATGGTTTATATGGTTTTACACACGGCACAAAGGGAAAGCGGGTGATGCTCAGTGTGCACACAAGGAGGATTTGGGCTTCGCTTCAAATCTGTTTTACTTCCGCTTAAACCTTATTGTTACTAACTGCAAATGGGGCTTGACCTTCATAATATACAGAGAACTTGCCTTTAAATGGGAAATGACTACTGGGCACAAGATTCATTAACTGGAAAACTTTTTCACTTGCTCCAACAGACTGCATTAATGATGACACATTGTCTGTGACCCTCCAAGTTGCATAAATTAACCACTCACAGTACAAGACGTACTTCGTAAGTTGCTCGGGCGAGACATTGCCACTCAGAATTGACATTCCTCCCAAAAGAACTGCGATAACCTACCAAATGTGACCTTTGAGAAAGAGAAACTTAGATGCCAAATACAGGTTCAGCTTTCAGCCAAAAGAAAAAGGTTCCATAAACCCTGTACCAATGAGATATCAGGCTTTCTAAGGGTAAGCATAAAGTAAGCTAAAGAAAGGGGGGGAACAACAAAAATTTAGATCAAGGATCTAACAATTGGCCCGATAAGTGACAATCCACTTTTCCCTTAGGGACTAGTTTATGATTTTTCTGGCTAAAAATGGTAACCTACCTGTGTTGAACGATATAGAGTAATGAAACTCCAACTCCAAATACCATAAGCCCCACTTTCTCGCATTGCTATGAAAGCTATTTTATCCAGCCAGTGCTTGAGCCTAGATGTTCAAGTATCATATGGGACGGGTTATATACATTTTCATGGTCGCATATATCTGACTTGGATGCCAGAGGCTGTGATTTTAACTAAAAAAAGAAAAAGAAACAAATTTAAGGACAGGGATGCTAAGAGGAATCACCATTACCTTATTCGTTCATTTTCTTCTGCTCCATAAATCCGCACAGTTCTTATCAGAGATAGTGTCTCTTGTGCAACCTACATAGTAACAAATGAAACAAATCACCTCGTAACATTTTCAATGGACGGTATAGAAACTAATTTGGATTATAATTTGCTCTATACCTCATTTGCAGCAGCAGTGAAGTCTTGCGTCAACTTTGCAACATGCTTTTGATACCTGGAAAAGAGAGAGAAAAAGGAATTAAAAAAAAGGCCCATTTGCAATAAATAAGAATTTCAATGAAGTGAGTATCTGCATCGTGATTTTGTAAATAAGCACAACCAGCATTTCATACATTTTTGTTATCTTAGCTGCTTAACAATACGCTGTGTTTTATTCTTTTTTCCCCAGGTAGAACCTAGGAAATATGCCTCAGGGTAGATAACAAATATATAACCCTTCGAAGGGCAAATAACACAACGTCAGTTCATAAAATTTATCAAGAATAAGCATTTTAACAATTACTTCTAATTTATTGTTTCAAAGGAAACTACCAAAGCAGTAAACGGTCTTTAGGCTAATCATAAGTAGAGCAAAATGGTGGCAAACAAAACATGTTAAATACATGACAGACTAACAAAGATTAACAATATTATGTTTCTCTGAAAATAAAAACAAGAACTCCAAATAAATAGTCTGAATACAGCATAAAGTGCAGATAAGGCAGAGAATACCAGCCATAAAAACGAAAAGTTATAGATAGCACAGAGCATATCACCACTGCAGATAAAGCAAGAGGCCAAGATAGCATCAACAAATTCACCAATGCACCAGTCCCCTAAACATGGAGCTTTCACTATAACTTGGGCTCTCGTCGCTGAGGTTAAATTTTACATAAATGAATATATGAACAACCAAACCTGAAGAATATTCCGAAAAATTAAGTTAATATCATTTCCAATGACATTAGACAGTCGTTGGCAATCCACCCCAAGCCTGCTCGTCAAATCACCAACTGCCTCTCTGTCGTAAAAGGATATATCCTACATTGAAGATAGCACATGACATAGTGCATTTTTCAAACAAAAAAAAAAAACAACGACAACAGCACAGCAAGAACAACGACAACAATAATGACAATAATAAAGAAACAAAATAATTCTGCCTAGAATAACTGGCTTCAAACGCCACGGCAGCTTGAATATGTTAAAGTTTCAAGACACAAACCTGACAAATAATAACAGAATATACAGTTTCTCTCATGCGTCTGACCTGCAATATGGCAAATGAAACAACCCATGATTTCAGACCGATTTTTCTTATACAAGACAACATATAAACCCAGAAATATTGCTTTTAAGATGATACAGCTGCAGTTTATATGGATAAAACTTTTTGTTTTCAAGTAAAAGCAGCAGTTTGAAATAGAAGACGAAAGTCTAGGTGCTTTCCTTCTCCTTGGACAATCAATAGCTATAGGTAAGTAAATCTAATTACTTGTTCTCTATAGAATCTATATAACATGTGGTATCAAATCCAAATGTAAACTTTAGAATTTACTCACCTCCAACCACGATTGTTCAACAAAAATGAAAGTAGATAAGCTTTAGGTCTTCTAACCGATTTTCCTTTATAGCCCTTAAGTGATTAAAAATACACAAGCAAATGACTATAGAGACACTCTGTAGAAATACACAATCTAATAAAAGCATATCGCATCACTGGACAAATCTAGAAACCTTCAAAATTTATAGAAAGTCTTGTAACTTTCTCCACAATTGTCTCACCAGTTCCACTTCACTCACTATCGACTTTAAAATTTAACTTAAATAAACAACTATCCACTAAATTTATAGGAAATCAAATGAGATTTCGAACACCATGTTCATCAATTTTACGTCATAAATAAACAGAAATGTCTTTAAGACGCCTCTCTAGCACCATGAGAGGAGAAAAATCTTGAGAAGTTAAAGGAAAATACTCGCCATGGTCACATTCGCAATCGCGAAACAGCCAACGCGAAGGCCACTGCAATTCAAAATACCAAATAAAAATAATATATCATTTAGTGCTAAATAATCCCAATTTCTAAGGACATTTAAAATGGATGTAATGCAGAGAACGAAAATCAACCTGCTAATCCCTGAGACGAGACACAATAGAAGTAATAGCTGTGAATTCCTATAGAACACCATCGCCTCCCCACGCTGCGCCGAAAAAATACACGCCGTCAATATTCCGGGCATTGAAATCTCGGAAATCTGCAGCGAGAAAACAAATTGTATATCTGAGAAAAATGCAAATCTTTAAACGAATCGATGATGTTTTGCAACTGAACAAACCGCGGCAAAGATTAAAGCTCCAAAAGCGACGAAGAGAATCCATCTATCATCTCCAACCAATTCCCACATTTGACGAACAGCGAACCAAACCGTAACGCGTTTCACCGACGGGAATTGCGCTTCGTCATGCTCCGGCAAGCTCCACCAGCAACCGCCGGGGAAAACCGACCTCGGAAATCCGGCCGACTTTCCGACAACATCCGAGAGTGATCCACCGGTCGTTTCTTCGTTCTTTTCAGGTTTTGGCGCCCAGAAGGGGAAGCGCTCGAACGCCGAGGTTAGGAATGGGAAATGGCGGCTTTTGGATGCGGTTATTTGTATTCGCCATCGGTGATTGTTTCTCCGGGAGAGAATGGGGAGCTTTTCGGGGCTGTACCAGTTCTGTTTGGGAAGAAAATGCAAAGAAGTGGTGTCAAGTGAGCTAAAGGGTGAGTGGTGCTGGTACATGGTGGCCATGGAAAGGTAAATTAAAGAGGTGCATTGGGTTCTTTTGAGCGAAGATGTTCCTCTTGCTGACAATTACTAGGAGCTGATACTCTCACATATTTTTATGCTTTCTCTTTCTTTTTTCTTAAAAAAAAAAAAATAAGTTAACAATTTAGAATTATTTTTAATTTATATATATATTTAAAAAAAATTGTAATGAGTCACGAATTATAATTTAAATTATGTCATAAATTCTTATATTAAATGCCTCTAAAATATATTTTAAATCAAGTAAAAATAAAAATACTGATACATTATGGCCGTTTGTTTTTATATAGTCAGACTTTAAATTATTATGTTACAGTATTTTTTTTAAAAATAATTAAATTTCAAACTTTAAATTAAAAAATTATAATTTAAATATACTTTTTAAATGTACTCTCAACCTATACATGTCATTGCACTACATAAAAATTATAACCCTCCTAGACAACCGGTTTATTAACAAAACTCAAATAAAACATAGGCGTGTATCAAATTCTGAAAGTAAACACTTAAATCAAATGAGTAAGCTAACAATTGAGTACATACGTGCCTATTAAATAACAATCGAAGGAAAAATCTATTCCTTTGAGATTGAAAGACATATTGTTAGGACAAAAAACTAGCATACTAAAAACGCAATATAACATCAAAGACAAGACAAAAACGCCACAAAAATTAGGTAAAACCACTATTATTACAATCCACAATGTATAGGAAAACACAAGAAAATTTCTAAGCCTTAGTAACAATACTTCAGGTGATGAAACAACCAACACAAGAACTGATAGATTAAATAGCAGTCAAAAAAATGCATAGAATAACACCATCTAAATGTCACCCGTAGAAGAGGGGTGAAAAAAAAAAAAACCGCTGGTCATTCAAACTGCCCACCCTATCATCGCCTCGCTTGTTAAGGCCTCGTTTACTTCGCGGATTTGAATTTTTAATTCGAGTTGAGATGTGATATTTTCTGAAAGCTTTTCACTGTAGCATAAAAAGTTAAATGTGACATTTTCTGATAGCTTTTTACTGTAGAAACCTAAAATTAAAAACTCGAATCGGTGAAATAAACGAAACCTAAATATTTAAAACGGGACTAGATTGTTACACATTTTTCCTTCTCCATTCCAAACCACATATTTAAGCGTGTTTGCTTTGAGTTAGAATTGTATAGTTTTAAACCTTTTATTTTAACTGAAAATTTTGAACTTGGATCTACCTTGAGTTCATACTACTGTGTGGAATTGTATAAAATCTGAACAAGAATAAAACATTGCATTAGGAACTAGTGTTTAGATAGTGCGAAAATTGTGAGTAAATAAAAAAAATGAAAAAAGAGACAAACACCGTCTATAATACATGGGTCTATATTTTTATATTTTACTCATGTTTTATATATTTTTAGGTAAGGTCTCTGGTCAGGCACTTAGAAAGTGCCTGATCGAAACGACAGTTGTATATTTCTGTATAAATCGTGTATATTTACATGTAAATCGTGTATATTTACATGTAATTCATGTATATTTAACATGAAATACAACAAATCGGCCAATATACATATTTTCATACTGTATTCACTAATTGCTATAAAAAATACATATTTTGAGGATTAATATACATTATCATTTCTTATAACTTAACATACACGACTTTACATGTAAATATACACGATTTACATGTAATTATACACAATTTATGTATAATTATACAACTGTCGTTCCGGTCAGACACTTTTCAAGTGCTTGACCGGAGACAATTCCTATATTTTTAATGCATTAGTCAAAAAATATTAATAAAAAATAAGAGTAAAAATTTAGACCATGAACTTTGGTAAATTTAACAATTTTCTCTTAAAAAAATAGAGTTATGGATTTTAAGTTCAAAATAATCTTGACAAATACCATTTAAAAGTGCATGGTCAGGATTTTTATATTTTACTCTTGATTTATAACATGTTTGTTTCAATGGTTCGTCTATGGATTTAAATCACGGCTCTTGATTCTTTACAGTATTTTTCTCTCATAAAAAATTTAAATTTTAAAAATCAAAATCATAAATAATTGTTCTAAATTCATGAACTAAATGTCCCATTAAAGTTCTTTGGGCCTGTTTGATTCCGTTTTCATTTTCATTTTTCACGTTTTCCAATAACCAAAAAATGAAAATGCTCTGAGGGAGCCGTTTGGCAACATTTCTTGAAAAACATAAAATGAAAACGTTTTTTACTTTATTCTTAAAAACTCAGCAAAACTGAAAACGATTGAACATCGTTTTTAGTTTTCCATTTTCATTTTCTTTCCTTGACCGATGGACCATTCTTCTCTGACTACACCCCCACACCCAAGTTGTAATCGTAATATAAGCCCAAAGTCGCAACTTGCTCTTCTTCTTCTTCTTCCAATTCCAAGCTGTAATCGAATCTCAATCAAAAAATCAATTCAAATTCCTCTCCCCCCCCCCCCCCTCCCCCCCCGCCTTTCACCCCCTCTT